ATATATATAATTATATATATATATATTATATATATAATATAATATCATAATATATATATTAAATATATATATATATATATATTATATATATACAGAGAGAGAGAGAAGAGAGGAGAGAGAGGAGAGAGAGGGAAGAGGAAAGCAGGGACCGAGATATAGAGAGTAGAAGAGAAGAGAGAGGAGAGAGAGAGAGAGAGATGAGAGAGAGGCGAGAGAGAGAGAGAGAGAGAGAGAGAGAGAGAGAGAGAGAGAGAGAGAGAGAGAGAGAGACAGAGAGACAGAGAGATATATAGATAGATACATAGATAGATAGATATGTGTACACACACACACACACACACACACTCACACACAAACTCTCTCTCTCTTTCTCTCTCACACACACACATAAATACGCACACATATATATACATATGCAACACACATACGCGATCTAGTTTTCTTTTTCCTTCCTCCATAATCTTTTATTTATCTATTGGCGTTTTTCTCAGGGATTTTGTTGTATTATTTCTTTCTCGCAGTTTTTTCTGTCCCCATTTGTTTTGTTGCTTTTGTTTTTATTTTCAGATTGTTTTTAATTTTGTTTACATTTGTTATATACGTTTTTTTCCTTTTCTTTTTTAATTTCTCTTTTTTGTCGTTATTTTCATTTTTTTTCGTACAAATTATTTTCCATTTCCTTTCTACAAGATATATGTTTAACCTATTATTATATTCTTCCTTTATTCCTTTTTCCTTTTCCCTTTTTCTTCAAAGTAATTAGCATAAGTTACGCCATTATTCTATGTTTTTTTGGTATTCCTTTCTTCCCCTTTCTTCATTTCCCCTTTCCTTTTCCATCATCACATTTTCCTTAGCTTCTTCCTCGTCCTCCTCTCCGGTTTCTTCTCTTCTTCTCTTCTCGATCTTATCATTCGTTATTTTCTACCTTATTATTCCATTTATCGTCTCTTCGATCGTAACATCTGGTCGTTCTCTCTTTTCGGTTTCCCCTTTCTTTCTTCCTTCCTCTTTCTTCCCATTCTTCCTCCTCTATCCTCTTCCTCTTCTCTCTTCTTCTTCCTCCATCCCTTACCTCTTCCTCCTTCCCTTCCCTCTTCCTCCCTCCCTTCCCTCTTCCTCCTTCTCCTTTCCTTCTTGTCCCCTCTCTTCCTCCCTTCATCCCCCCTGCCTCCTTCCTCCTCTCCCTTCCCTTCCTCCTTCCTTTCCCTTCTTCCTCTTCCCTTCCTCTCCTTCTTCCCTTCTCTTCCCTATCCCTTCCCTCTTCCTCCTCTTCCTCCCTCCCTCTTCCTTCTCCTTCCCTTCCTTCTCCTCCTTCCTTCCCTCTTCCTCCTCCTTCTCCTCTCTTCCTCCCTCCCTTCCCTCTTCCTCCTTCCCTTCCCTCTTCCTCCCTCCCTTCCCTCTTCCTCCTTCCCTTCCCTCTTCCTCCCTCCCTTGGCATCCTTCTCCCTCTCTTGACCTCTTCCCCTCCCTTCCTCTTCCTCCCTCTTTCCTCTTCCTCCTTCCCTTCCCTCTTCTCTTCCCCCTGTCTCCCTTCCCTTCCCTCTTCTCCTTCCTTACCTCTCTCCCTCCTTCCTCTTCCTCTTTCCCTCTTCCTCCTTCCTCCCTCTTCCTTCCTCCCTCTCCTCCTTCCCTCCCTCTTCCTCCTTCCCTTCCTCTTCCCTATTCCCCTTTTTTTCCCTTCCTTCCTCCCTCCCTTCCCTCTTCCTTCACCTCTCTCCCTCTTCCTCCCCCCTTCCCTCTTCCTCCTCCCTTGACTCTTCCTCACTCCTTGATCTTCTTTCTTCCTTCCCTCTTCCCTCCCTCCTTCCCTCTTCCTCCCTCCCCCTCTTCCTCCTCCCTTCCTCTACCTCCTCCCTTCCCTCTTCTCTCCTCCCTTCCTCTTCCTCCCTCCCCTTCCCTCTTCTCCTTCCCTTTCCCTTCTTCTCCTCCCTCCTTGCGCTTTTCCTCCCTCCCTTCCTCTTCCTCCTTCCTTACCCTCTTCCTCCCTCCCTCCCTCCTTCCTCCCTCTCCTTCCCATCTTTTCCTCCTTCCCTTCCCTTCTTCCTTCCCTTTCCTCTATTTCCTCTTCCTTCCTCTCCTTCCTTCCTTCCTCCTCTTCCTCCCTCCCTTCCCTCTTCCTCCCTCCCTTGTCTATTCCTCTCCCTTGACTCTTCCCCTCCTTGACTCTATCCTCCTTCCACTTC